CAATAGTTTATGTAAGTTAATAAATAGGCCAAATTACTGTTTTTGTCCATAACTTGTTTGGTTATGAACCATAACTTGACAAGTTATTGTCCATAATTCACGGTTTTTGTCCATAACTTGTCTGCCTATGAACCATAACTTGACAAGTTTGTCCATAACTTATCTGGTTATGAACCATAACTTAATAAGTTATGGCCTATTAATTTTTATAACTAAAAATTAGCCTATATTCTTTCTTAAGCTTTTTATATTGATCTATTTTCTACTATCTCCGTAAAATTTAACAACAGTCATGAATTAAAAGCTCTTAAAGAATTATTTCATTTGAACGAAAATAAAATTAGATTCAAATATTTATCATTTCGGCTACACTCATAATTACAGAAAGGAAAATCTAGTTCACAATTGAAAAAAGATCAAACATCATGTAAATAATATCCATCATCTATTAGAAAACTAAAATGAAAAGAAAAAGAGAAGAAAAACGAAGAATCTTGAACGTGGTGATCGATCTCGTAGGGAATGTTTGGTTAGAGGATTTAAACCATGATTTGAATCATGGTTCATGATTCGCTACAGTGTTTTCTCTCACAAAAAATACACGTAAATCGAAAATAATTCTAATCCCCTATTCTCCCTCAATCTCCTCTTGAAACTTGTGCAAACGGTTCTCCAAAAATCTTAAAAACACCTCTCAATAACCCTTATATAATCCTAATTTCTATGTTCAAAACTAGGCTTAAAATTTACATGTTTTAGAAATTTCTGTGGTGCTGGAATTGTGCCACCGCAGCAACCTCGACTTTCTAGTGCTCCAGCGCTAGACTTGTTAGGATTTTTAATTTTATGTGGCACAAATTTTTCTATGTAGCATTTGTGATTGGCATGAGATTTGTACCTTTTGTGCGTTTTTATTGTCATCCTTATATCAAATCAATTATAATAATCAATTTAATAATATGTTGTTATTTTTACACTTTGTTTCCTTATTTAGTTGACTGCAATTTGGATGATTTGTTTCCATAAATAACCCGATTTAATTGGATAATTAGATATTATATTGGCTGTCAACATAGGTTGACTTTTGGGTTAATATTCAGATTCTTTTACAGGATACGATTGCTGAATTTATGAGATAAGATTTTTAATTTTCTAATCACAAATTTATCTCATCTATTTTTAGCAATTTCTTGGAATTTCGATTTTTGTGGACTTGGTCCTTGTACATAATTGAGTGTAGGTTCATTAAGGATCAATTTAATTTTCTGGACATTTCAATCAGGATTATTCTGATCAATTTTGTATTCTTGGTTGAAACCATTTTTAGTAACAAATCACGAGTTGTCTGTCCAAATTGTATTGACAGCTGTAGGTTCGGATATTATGTTCACACGTGACAGCTGAATTTAATGAAGCAATTCAATCAAAAAGACCGCAATCAAATCTCAACCCTAATCAAGTGGAGAGACCCTAGACGTCTCTCATATCCTAGTTCATTATTTAGGGAGCTCTCATTCAGACCTTTGTGTGTAGAGAGCACATACTAAAATCAAGAGATCATTTTGTGAGAGAAAATTTAGTGTTCTCATTTTGTGCATAAGAGTGAGAGAAAATCAGAGCGTTCCTTAGACTTTATTTGTAACTCTTAAACCTTGCAGTGTGCGGACTTTGTGAGGATCCGTAGTAGGTCCGAGGAGGAGTTGAAGGCGGATCATGGCGCTCGGAGTAAGTCAGAAGGACTAAAGGCGGGCATCGTGCTTGAAGTAGGCCAGGAGGATCGAAGGCGAGCAGAAGACTCAGTGTAAGGCGATGAGTCAGAAGGCAAGTCAAGAGGAGTCACCATGAGTTAGGAGTTGGTGTAGATTCGGGAGGTTTCTTGTAATTCCAAGCAGTGTAACTGTTTTTGGTGATAGTGGAATCCTCTTTGTGTTGGTGTGATCAGCACACGTGGTTTTTTTTTCCCGAAAGAGGTTTTAGCCATGTTAAATGACCATATCACTGTGTTCAATTGATTATTCTACATTTTACTTCACAACATTTTTGGTTTTTGTTTAAATGTGGTTGATTTAACCGCTCTGTGCATACAGAACGCTATTATTGGGTTTGTCTGGTCTAACATTTGGTATGAGAGTGCGTCGCTACAACATTAGTGAGATATTGGGAGAAAGTCATTTTATGTAATTACTTTTTAAAATTTTTATGAACTTGGACCCAACTCTAGTTCCGGCTCTAAATCCGACTGTGAATTCCAAACCTGACCTCAACCGCGACACTTAAACTCAACCTTTGCCCTAGAGTTGAACCTTTAAACTTGACCTTTGCCCTAGAGTTGAACCTCACCTCGGCACCCACGAACTTGATCCAAGTCCCAAAACTTGATACCGGGTAAATCAACCTTATTTTTATAGCCAAACATAATATTTTTTAAAAAACTATATAACATTAAAGACATTCACAATTGTCATAAAAACATTCACGAACCCTTAAAATAATCTAATTGTAAAAAATTTTAACGACTTCTATACAAAATTTTAGTGAAAGAAGTACAACGCCAGTTTTTTACTCCAGAGAGTATAAAAACACACAAATAACCACTAGAGGCGGTGGCATGGTGGTTTAAGCCTTAAGGGATGTCAATTAAGGTGACGTTTGATTTATGGATCCAAAATCATGATTGATTATTTTGATTTTTTAAATTTAAATTTTTTATGAGAGAAAAACACTGTAACAGAACTAAGAACCGTGATCCTAAATCAGGTAGAACTCTTAAAACAAGCATCACTTAAGGCTTCCAATGCGCCACATACAGGTTCGATTCTTGCCCGTTCCAACCGCGCCTTGGTATTTGTTCAAGGGCTGAGAATGGACTTTGGGCCTTGTGTTGTGTATATTATGGGCCTTAGGACTGGACTTGGGCCTCGCATGGGGAAACTTAATGGACCCCTACCATCTGCTATGGTCCCAATAGACTTATCTTATGGTGCTGGGTGAAGGGCGTGAAGACACTGCTAATTCCCTTTTTCTCAGAGCAAATAATAATAATAATAATAATAATAAACACAGATACACAATCAATAATAAGAGAGATTGCCAGTAATAGGCAAGATTAAAAGGGCAATAAAAATAAACAGGCCAAGTTTTATAATTAGATTGTAAATAAGCTTAATCGGTTTAAATATGGATTTACACTAAATTAACTTCCCAAAAATACATCTAATTAAAAAGGAAAATGAAATGTTAAAACTTTATTTTGGCTCTATTTCCACGCTCTCTCTATCTCTTCGCTCTCTACACTGTAAATCTAAGATTTACAAATAAACATACTATTTGTTCTAATGGTAAATCTAAGATATCTAGAATTTACTATCACATCTGTGTTCTGATAGTAAATCTTAGATTTAAAGTACGGTAAATCCTACATTTACGAGTAGAACTGAAAAAAATATTTATCTTATATTAGTAAAGTTAATATAATCTAATAACAGTAAATCCTAAATTTATACTTTAAATCCAGAATTTACACAATATGTGTTGGTTTTGGTGTTATAATGATACATCCTAGAATTACAGTATAAAAAATTTAGGATTTACGAAATAAACACAATATGATGGTAAATCTTAGACTTACAAAGGATAAGAAAATTTTGATGGTAAATACTGAATTTATGCTATAAATTTGAGATTTATAAACAACACAATCTGTGTTCTGATGATAAATCTTAAATTTTCATAATAAATCTTACATTTACGAGCATAACTAACAAAAAAAAGAAAAAGAGAAAAAATGAAAATAGAAATTAATAAAGTAAAACTTGGTAAATAAAAAATTCTTCTGCGCCTTCCTTTCCTTTTGGGGACTTGGTTGGATAAACGTCTGGAATGAAGCCAAGTGACCTTCCATGCTTAGTAGAGCTGACAATTCGGATAGTGATACAAAGATACGATTTGAAATCCGTATGAAGTTAACGGGTTTGGATTTATTATAAATTAATTTAGGTCATAATCGGATTGACATGATTAACACGATTATAAATATGTTATGTTAGAGTTGACCTCCTAACACGAAGTGACACAAGTTGACATGATTAACTATATGTGTCATCTGTAAACTAATGATATGTGATATAACATGAAAGTTTATATTACATATTAAATACAAATAATGTGAATTTTAATATTTGTAGGTAAAATACATTTATTTTTTTTAAATAAAAAGATAAATTAACCAACAAACATGTTAAACCTGTCTTGACTGTGTTAAATAAGTTATTTATTTAATATATTAATTTAAATGAGTTATACGGATTGACATGATTAATCTGATTAATAAATAGGTCGTGTTTGTGTTGACATTGTTAACACGTTTAGTAAACATATTGTGTTTAAGTTAATATTTTCTGACATGATTAATAAATGAGCAAATACAAATACGATCCATTAATACGAATTGCGACCGGTTGAATTCTCTACCGGATGGATTGATAGTTACTTGACCGGGACGCCTCTAAGCATATGAATCTGACCTTTTTTTAGTCTCCTTCCTAAATATGATTGTAGAAAGTCTATTAAATACAAATTTTTCTCTTAAAAAAAATACTAATTTTGAAAATACAAAAAATAAAAATAAAAACAAAAATTAGGACTTTCAAATAAAAAAGAAAAAGAAAACTCATGCATAAATTAACTATTTAATGTATCGTTTATTTTACTGATTTAATTTTTTAATAATAATTTTATTAAAGTTAAAAATTTTAATTTAAGTTATTAATTTATATTTAAATATAATTTTACGTGAGAATTTTGTAACTGTAATAAAAAAGAGATGTTTGGTTTATGAATTAGAATCATGTGATTAAAATTATTTTTAATTTATGTATATTTTTTATGAGAAAAAATACTGTAACAAACTATGAAATTCAAATCATGATTTGAATCTTCAGACCAAACGTATAATTAGTTGTAACTGAATTTAACCTTATATTTTTAACAGGTCTCTCTCCGTACATAAGAGTGAAGTTTGCGGCTCTCCTGGGAGTCCATTCCATGTTCTGAAATCTGGGCGGTGCTTTGTTCCGTTCCTTTGTCACTTGCAAACTACGCCCAGCTCTCTTGTTTTCATCAGAAATGGCCTTTCTTTTTCAGAAATTTCAAGAGGTATCTCTCTCTGTTTTTATTTTTTATTTTTTCTGGGTAAGAAAAAAAAATTGCATAAATCTTTAAATATGCAAATGGAGGGTTTAGGGTTTTACATTATTTGTCCTTTTAAATTTCTTTATTATTGAAGGATTTTGGAATCAAATGGTATGGTTGTTTGGTAGGAGAGAAAATAGGAGGGAATGAATTGGGTTGGTGTCGAATCCTTTGAAAGAAGCTGAAATTTAATCTCACTCAATATAAAGACTTAGAAAAGGGAATCCATACCAAAATCAATCAGGGTGATGGAGGAGAATTTAGCTATATTTATCATTTTTTTGTTTGTTTGCAGTGTCGTTATTTGCCTAGTGTGTTGTAAGAACTTAGTAATTATTTTGTTATCGTTTCACTATAAATACCTTTACTAGCTATGGTAATGGTTAGACTTTCATCTCCAATTTTGTGGGTTTTCCCCTTACCCATGGATTTGGCTTGACTTTCCCATTCCGCTGCATCAAAGAATTCACTTTTGTGAGTGCCGGGGCTTTTGTAGTCTAAATTTTTTTTAGAAACAATATTTCTTGTCCTCACTGTGATAATTTGATTTTTGATGTTTGTTTTCAGGCTGTCAAAACTCTTGCGAAAAATCCCATGTTTGCTAAGGATCCAAGGAAACTGCAATTTGAGGCAGACATGAACCGGTTGTTCCTTTATACCAGGTTACTTTCGCTTGCATAAGCTTCTGATGTGTGTGTTTGTGATGACGAATTACTTGTATTGACTTCGAGAAATTACATTTTAGCATGCACGAGGCTTGACACTTAAAAAATTTTATGCAGTTCATACCATCTGATTGGCGCAGCTATTTGAATTTTTCTTTTGTCACGTTGTTGGTGAATTTCTTACACTATTTAATAATAGTTAATTCTACAAATGGTCTTTGAGGTTACACTTACTTTAGTTCCTGACTTTTTAAACGTCGCACAGATGGTCCCTGATGTTTTATTTTGTTTCAGTTTCGGTCGTTCCATCAACTAGGCGTTAAAATTTGATAGAATATGTGAAAATTAGAGTCCAAAACTAGAAACAACTAGAATTTTAGGTCTATTTGTAGAAATTAACTTTTGGTTTTTTGTATTGTTTTAGTCTCCTAACTTTTTCTAATTTCAGTCCATAATTTCTACGAATTTCATCAAATATTTAGCACCAAATTGACAGAAGGACCAAAACTAAAACATAATAAAACCTCAGAGATCAACTGTGTGACGTTTGAAAAGTCAGGGACTAAAGTGGGATTGAGGCTAAACCTCAGTGACCATTTGTGAGATTAACCCTTAATAATATTGTGTTATTGAACTATGCTCAAGATTTGTATATCTCATAGTTCAGAAAAGTTTATATGTAATCATTTGTGAACGGCCAAGTACATATCGTTTTATGATTCCTTTGCTTCAAATGCCTCAGCTTCTATTCAATTATATGCCGTTGCCCTAATCTCTATTTCCACAATTTCTAACATACCTTTTGGTCTTCCCTTTAGTCTTCGGAGCCCTCTTCATTGTATTTCTCACTAATGCACTTACCATTGCACATTTCTATTCAAAACGTACCGGTCTTTTTGACATATCTAAATCGTTACACTATGGGTGCGTTTGGTTGGGAGGAAAGGAAAGGAAAGGAAAGGAAAGATAATTCCTTTACTAAAGCCCAAATCTCTTGCTTGGTTAACAAATTGACTTCAGAAAGGCCTTTCCATTGTAAAGCCCATTCACCCATTTCGGTGGAAAGGCCATTCATCCAATGAGAGGGTGGAATTGCTATTCTGAGGTTTGTGGAATCACTTTTTCCTGAACTACCCTCTTCATCTTCTAAACACACACCACCAAAATCAAAACCCATCCACATCTTTGCTTCAGATCGAGCCTGAAATAGATGTTGAAACTCCACTCCGACACTTTGTGTTGAGCACCGGCGGCCATCATCGGAGCTCACGTCCACCTCCAAAGCCCATGCCGAGCACCGCCACACATTGCCAGAGCTTGCATCTATTTTGGAGCGTTTGAGTGCTGCCAGACCATCATAGTCGCGTCCACCTCCGAAACCCAATTCAAGCGCTGCCAAGCATTGTCAGAGATGGCGTCATTCTAGTGCTCTCAAGGCCGCTGGATAACATCTGAGCTTGCTTTGTTGATGCTCTCATTCTACAGTGGCCATTGCTTCTCATTGGTTGTCATACATGTTAAATCTACTTTTCTGAATGTATCATGTAGTTACTACCAGTTATACTTAAACCCCAGCTTCAACTAATTGATTTCTTATATTGCTTGACAATATTTTGCACCACAAAGCATGTTTGATTTTCTAGCTATTTCGTTTAGTGGTTACCCCAAAATCTAGTTGATGACTTGATGATAGAACAATTAATATCAGAAGCACGCTCGCTTTCATTACCAATCCTAAATATATGAACTCAAAAGTATCTCTGTTTCCTAATCTCGTTTCATAAATGAGTGCCATATATAGCATAAGATTCTTGCTACCTTTATGCATGGTTTAAAAAATCGTATGCCTCGAGGCGCACCTCATACTGAGGCGGACATCCGGCAATTTGTGGCTACGTTTTTTACCCCCTGAACAAGGCTTACACCTTTTTTGGATGAGGCGTACACCTTGAGGCGTTTTCGGCTCAAGGCGTTAGAGGCGTGAACCTCATTTGGCCATAAAGGCCAGATAAAACTTTGAGCTTTTTGAAGAAAAAAGAAAGACCACTTCAGGCTATTTACGTATTAGGCTTTTTATATGGTTGAAAAGTGAAGAAAGGCTAAACAAAACCTTAAATCTAACAAAAAAACCCTACACTTATCAAACAATAAAGTTTCCGTCAATCCATCTTCTACAACTCTGTCTCCACTTCCCCAATCTCTCACTCAGATACCGCTGCTCACTCCAGCTGTCCAGCGATCTCTCCACAATCAAGATTTTTCCTTTTTTTTTTATTTGTGTCCCTTCTCCTCCTTTCTCTTGTTCTACTGTTGTGATTTGTGACTTACTTAGACTTCAAGTGAGAGTGACAAGTCCTTTCTCCCCTCTCCCCCTCCCCCCCGGCTGCTGTTTAGAACTTCTTTTTCCCTTCGTCTAAGACCTCAAGTGTGGCAATTTTAGTATATGACTTGCTATTTGCTGCCACCAACTTACTGACCCACTGTCAAGTGTCACCGACTCACCTTTTTTTTTTTATGTGATAATTGATATTTTAAAAAAATTATCATTTTTTTTTTTCAGTTTGTTACTATATAATATATAGCATACTTATTTGGTTTAGTTTGTAATTTCTGGTTATTTTTTTATATTTTTAATTAGTTATTTATATTATCAAAAACAAAATTAGTTATTTATAATCACGGTATTCCTAATGAACTATGCCAACGGATCCTCTTTCATTGGTTGTCTACAAATCTCAAAGTAGTTCTAAATTACATTCCTAAAAATCATGTAAATTTGTTTTTTCACTTTCGTTTAACTAACCAATGCTGTAATTTGAAATCGGCCAGCATACATTGTACAGTTAAATCTACTGTTGCCTTTCTTCTTGTCTTTGGTTTTATTTTATATGATTCTTTGACTGGGAAAAGGTATGTGATTGGTACAACTCAATATTCTTCTAGTTTTTCCATAACGTTCTTCTCTGTCATTCTTCCTTGGAAGTTTATGGCCCCTAAGATATGGACCAAATGGTGCCTTTAGATGCTTCTCTGTTCTTATTATCTTATCTGATAGCAATTATTTGTATTTCCACCAGCCATGTAAGAATTTCACAGCGAGTATTTTAATACAAGTTTGTCAACCAAGGAATTGTTTCCAATCCTAGGTAGCATCACTTCTAACCTACAACAATTGTTAAAAAAGTAAACTATTAAGTACTTTTCATCATTTGTTTACTGCAAAACTATATATCAGTATGATCTTAAAGATCTAAGAATTTGGCACAGTATAACTTGAAGAAACAATTCTTAGTGAATTTATTTTTTTTCATGAGTTTTACTGTATTTAATATATGCCATCATACATTGTTTGGCGTTTGGTCCCTGCGAAATACCATCATACATTGTTTTGGCCTGGTCCCTGCGAGCTGATTCCACATTTTGATTTGTGCATACTATACCATCATTAAGGTTGTCTTGAACTTTTATCTTATGATAAAAAATGTGAATACCACAGCTACAATTGTTTGGGAAAGAATGCTGAAGAGGCTGATGTAGAGGAGATCATAGACATGGCCACTAAAGCCTCTATTGCTGATCAAGAGAAGCTAGTCCAAGAAAATGTTCATTCCCAAATTAAAAGCTTCTGCAAGTCTATGGACAAAATTCTTCTTCCTGATACGGAAAAGAGAAACGAGCCAATTGAGTTGCCTCAGCAAACGAATGCTGCTTCTCGCAGGAGTGGCCTTAGTTTCGCTGTTGGTAGCAATATCTCAAAAACCAATCATCCGGGTTAGTTCCTATTTTTTGTCCCAAACATCTGATGAAGTTATCTAATGAATCTAAAAGCTCTTTGCTAATGTTTGCTGTGTACATGAGTTTATAGTATCCATACAATTAGATCCGTTCCATCTATTAGTACAAATCATATTAAACCACTACCACTTTAAGATTTACGAAATCCAGCATCCAAGAATTTCAGAGCATTATTAGTTGAGATTTTGTTAGGGGACTTAAGTTAATTAAGAAAACTTGGTTCTCTTATATTCTAATTACTGAAGACAATCTTTGAATGATTGTTGATGTTAATGATTTTTCAGTGCAGCTGTACCAGAGACTAGGCCATTAAAACGGATTGAAGTGTCTAAGAGAATTAAAGATCTTATTGGCTACACACTCAATATCAAACCCTCCGAGATACCTCACAAGGAAGCTGGCCAGGGTTTGTTTCTAAATGGCAAAGCTGATGTAGGTTCTGTGATAGCCATTTACCCAGGTGTAATATATTCCCCGGCTTATTACCGTTACATTCCCGGATACCCAAGAGTAGATGCACAAAACCCATATTTGATCACGAGGTATGATGGGGCTGTGATAAATGCTCAACCTTGGGGTTTGGGGGATGAAACCCGTGGGATGTGGGACGCCGTAAGTGTTTCGAAGATCAGACCTAATGTGCAAGCTGATGGGAAAGGTTCAGACAAGCTCTGGAGAATCCTAAGTAAGCCATTGGAAGGCAAACGAGTGGACTATGGCGGTGATGTTATAGAGCGGAGAAATCCATTAGCCTTGGCTCATTACGCCAACCACCCTGCAAAGGGTATGGCTCCTAATGTTATGATTTGCCCTTATGACTTCCCATTGACTGAGAAGGACATGCGAGCTTATATTCCAAATGTTGTATTCGGGAATTTAGACGAATCAAATATGAAGAGGTTTGGAAGCTTTTGGTTCAAATATGGGAGCTCAAAGATTGCTGGATCGGACATTCCACTTCTGAAGACACTTATCTTGGTGGCTACAAGAGCTCTTGGTGATGAAGAAGTGCTTTTGAACTACAGATTGAGCAACCTGAGGCGTCGACCAGAATGGTATACTCCGGTGGATGAAGACGAAGATAAAAGGAGATGGAGCTAATTTCGGCCGGTAAAAAATGCGTGTTGATTAGGGAAATAATTCTTTTGTTGGGAGCAGCAATTTTTCTGAGGCGTTTCATTTTGTAGCTTTTTATTCGGCAAGATTTCTACAACAAAAGTTAGGCAATAGCTTGAGGAAAATCTTTTACAAAAAATAATGTCATTAACCATCCACAAAATGACACTTGGCCCCACTATTGCAGAGTTATGTGGAACTTTGATGTCGTATCTTTTGGCATTCCTCAAGAGAGCCTGTTATTTGTTTGGATGTCTTTAGGATGGCAGTGGAAATCTGAGCACCCCTTTGAACTAATGGAGAGATACATCGAACGTATTTAAAATTCATTTTAAAATAATTTTATTTTTTGTATAAAAATGAAAATAAAAACGTTTTTAATTTCAGATAAAAATTATTTTTAAAAATGCATTGATAGTTTTATTAAGAGATTATTTTCAGTGTAAACAAATTCATTAATGTCTCTCTTTTCTCTCTCTGTTTAAAAGAGGAGAAAATGAAAACAAAAAATAAAAACCGACTAAAAGTCTTTTTTCATTTATCTCTCATTTTTTACTAAATTAAAAAATCGTTTTCATTTATGTTTTTTGTCTTTATTGCGCTAAACGCCGTTTTGAAAACGTTTTTATTTTTTATTTCTCGCTAAACGCTTTTTGTGTTTTTTTGTTTTTTGTTTTTTTCCCCTGATATTAATAACATAATATGAAATTTTAGAGACAACACAAGGATTTATTTATTTATTGCTTGAACAACGGAAGAATGTACTACTTGTTCTTGATGAGAAAGTGAGCAAAGTTTGTTTTAATTTGTATTAATATCAGTATACACGTTTCATCCTCTTTTTTTTTTTTTTTTTTTTTTTTTTTTTTTTTTTGGGGGGGAAAAAGGGGAATAGGCAATTCGACCCCACTCATCCAACTGTTTCATCACGGTTGCTACCATGTATACATCAATTCTAAAATTATAAAAAATGAGCTATGGAAGAAAGATAATCGTTGATGATTTAGACAAATACCGTAATTTTTCTAGTCATGTATAATTACTATGTAATTTTGTAGCATAAAATGTTAAAGTAGTTATACCCCTAAACTTATCGCTTTTGGCAATCGTTGATGATTTAGACAAATACCGTAATTTTTCTAGTCATGTATAATTACTATGTAATTTTGTAGCATAAAATGTTAAAGTAGTTATACCCCTAAACTTATCGCTTTTGGCAGTATACATCAATTCTAAAATTATAAAAAATGAGCTATGGAAGAAAGATAATCGTTGATGATTTAGACAAATACCGTAATTTTTCTAGTCATGTATAATTACTATGTAATTTTATAGCATAAAATGTTAAAGTAGTTATACCCCTAAACTTATCGCTTTTGGCAAATCAGTAACTGAATTAAAATTTTAGCAATTGGTTTCTTAAACTTTGAAATCGTTGCATAGCAAATCCAATTATTAACGGTGTCAAAATTTTGTCGGATTTCATGTTATAAGATGGGCATTTTGGTCCTTTGATTAAATTAGAAATTAAACAAAAATAAACACCAACAAAATAAAATAAAATTATGTGAATTTCATATGTCAAATTCGAATAAACCTTTCTGTTGGAATAAGTCAAGATTGTCCAAGATTTGAATAATACGTTCCGCTCCATACAAATCATCAATGTTGAGTTCTTTAACTTTTATTAAGCCCCGTTCATTTCGCCGATTCGAGTTTAAAATTCGAGTTTTGCTACAGTAAAAAGCTCTCAGAAACAGTCACATCTAACTTTTTTGCTACAGTAAAAAGCTCTCACACAAAATCACATCTCAACTCAGCGAAGTGAACGGGCCCTTAGTTTTGCGTAATTTGAAGGGAGTTCAAGTGAAGCAAACAAGACGAGTGTTGCTCGCTAAATAAGCTCATCAAATTGATACAACATTAGAGTGACAATTAATGAGAGTCTTAGGCCCCGTTCACTTCGCTGATTCGAGTTTAGAATTCGAGTTTTTCTACAGTAAAAAGCTCTCACAAACAATCACATCTAACTTTTTTGCTACAGTAAAAAGCTCTCACATAAAGTCACATCTCAACTCGAATTCTAAACTCGAATCAACGAAGTAAACAAGCCTTTAAGTTGTTTGTATGCATTAATGCTTCTAATTTGTGAAATTTAGTGAATTGTTTAATAACTGAACGTGATTCTATAGATGTATACGTACACCAAACTACGTAAAATTACATGTATCTTTACTTTAATTTATGCTCTCAATAATTTAATTAATTAGATTGTAATCAAAATTGATAAATTGCTAAAAATAGATCTTTCAATTTTATTAAAATAAGTATAATAATAGCATCAAAACTCGTTCAATTTTTTTTTTTTTAAGAAAAAAAAATCTGACAAAGTAAAACTTTTTTTTGAACTTCAACATTGCATGAGAAATAATAAAATAACTTAAAGAAATGTATTAACATAATACAAAATTAAATAAAAGAAAAAGTGGTAACAATAATTCGTTTTTAATTCATATTTGACCGGCTATTTGCCTTGTAAAAGATATAGGAAATGCAATCCTTTGCCGGCAGCCATAGCTTGTTTATTCATCTAGTACTCCTAGCATGTTCTGAGCAACTCATATTTGATGGCTCCAAAAGGTTAAATTATAAGGTGCGTTTAGAACTCATTCTAAAATAATTTATTTTTTATATACAAATAAAAATAAAAACATTTTTAATCTTAGATAAAAATTATTTTGTTTTTTGCATACAAATAAAAATGAAAACGTTTTGTATACAAATAAAAATGAACCAAACGTTGAGATCATATAACTCTAGAAAGGATAGATGTTGGGATTATGGGCCTGTTTGGGAGAGTTTTTTAAAACCTATTTTTAGCTATTTAAGTCTAAAAGTTGTTTTTGAAATTGTTTAGATGATATGTCAGATGTGTTTTAGCATTTTAAAAAAACTTCCAGTCAAAATCATAAAATGCGACTTCTAAAGAAAAACACATTTGAATAGATTTTGAAACTTGTACCGGAATTTAATTAAGACATTAAAAACTTAATTCCAATACTTTTATTGTTTATTCAAAAATTTAAAAAATATTTTGACGACCCATTAAGCTCTTGGTTTCAAACAGTACTTACTGAAAAGCCACAACTTTTGTTTCATTTCTTTTATTGGCTAAAAGTAAAAGTAAAAGCTCTGCCAAACGGGCCTGAGAACCATAAATTATAAAATACAGATCTTGTGAAGTGTGGTATGAGCAAAGATGATATAGTTGCACAACAATAGAAGAGGAACACAATGAGTACATAAAATTTGAGAACTAAATTTGATGATACCTAACAAGTTAAATATCTTATCTGTCTATCAATGGATTTACATCACTGAATCTATATTTCACAACAAATTGTGCAATAATATTATTTTATGAATATTAGTGATTAAATATGCCATCATGTGACATACGAGAATGAAGACTTTTCCACTAACGTATGTCCTCAACTACTAAATTTCAAAGCTTATCTTATTGATTATAACTTATCCAATAGAGAAATTTTGTAACAACAAATCAACAATTTCCAACCACATGTTCCTTTTCATGAGCAGTCCTGCAGGAAATAGAAAAACGAATAAAAGTCACAGTCTTTCTAGTGAGACAAATAATGTGTCTTTTTTATTTAACATAACTCTATTACGAAAGTCATGAACGTAACTTATTCCTTGGGTTAGAAACTTTATTCTTCGTCTGCCCCATTTTCAAGTTTCAGCAATTAGGGGGTCCATGATTCAACTGATCGGGAAAACCAACATCAATGAGAGAACTCATGACCTTGATGGTTTGGTCCCATGTTGTTTACTTGACCGACTCGATTGGTAGTTTTCATTTCACGTAGACTTGTTATCTATTGTGTAGAAAATCTAGAATAATAGTACCAAAAAAACAGTACCAAAAACAGTGAAATGAGGGAATGTCCTTTTCATCCCTCATTAATTTTTTTTTTCTTTTCAATTGAGAAAAATAATTTTGTGAATGTTATTTTATATTCTGGATTGAAATTCCACAACTAATTAATGCTAATTTTTTTTAATAATTTTAAGATATGAAATGATCCAAAAAAAGGCAACTCGAGTTACAATTTTATTCGAGTTCATATTCTTTTAAGTTTAAACTTGAGTTTAAACTCGAGTTCAAACTCGAGTTCAAACTCGAGTTTAGGACTAAAACTTGAGTTCAGAAACTCAAACTCAAATTAATGAACAATATTTTTTCTATTCTTAAAAATGCTATAACTTTTTCGTTTTAATTCTGATTGAGATGCTTTTTTTTTTCTATGCGTTGACAACGAAAAGACGAACAAACCCCGACCCATATACCCTATTAAAATTTTTCATCAGCATTGAGTTTTTATTAAAATACTATCTAAATACAAATTCAAGTTTTGACTCACTCAAACACAAACTCAAAAAGATTCTTATCTCAAACTATAACTCAAATGTACACAACCAAACATAAACTCAAGTTACAAGTTCAACTCAAGTTATAACTCAAATTCAACTCAAGAATTATTCTCAAGTTAAACTCCAAAAGAACAAGCCCAAAATAACTTAAAGAAATGTATTAACATAATACAAAATTAAATAAAAGAAAAAGTGGTAACAATAATTCGTTTTTAATTCATATTTGACCGGCTATTTGCCTTGTAAAAGATATAGGAAATACAATCCTTTGCCGGCAGCCATAGCTTGTTTATTCATCTAGTACTCCTAGCATGTTCTGAGCAACTCATATTTGATGGCTCCAAAAGGTTAAATTATAAGGTGCGTTTAGAACTCATTTTAAAATGATTTTATTTTTTGTATACAAATAAAAATGAAAATGTTTTCAATCTCAGGCAGAAATAATTTTAGAAAATGAGTTTGGTAGTTTTATCAAGAGATTGTTTTCAGTATAGAAAAACTCAATAATGTCTCTCTCTCTCTGCTCAAGAGAGGAAAAAACAAAAGCAAAAAATGAAAAACGACTAAAAGTCGTTTTTCATTTCTCTCTCATTTTACACTAAATTAAAAAATTATTTTCATTCCGTTTTTTGTCTTTAATTAAGTCAAACGCCGTTTTAGAATCGTTTTCATTTCTGTTTTTTATCTTTAATTATGTCAAACACCGTTTTAGAATCGTTTTCATTTTCACACTTTCCATTTGCTTCATAAAGTTCATATAATTCAATCACTAATGTCATTAATGCAAGCTGTTTGTGGTCATCAATTGTTTTTCATATCAATTATAAACATAAACCACTTTGGTATATAGCTAAATATATGTCAGTGATGATAATTAAATTAAGTACAAGTGCCGGCTTCATTTTGTATTGATCCACGATAGGAACCAGAAAAACCGTTTTTATTTTTATTTTTTCCTCTTACAAGTTTTCATTTAAGTCATTTCATTTTTTTTTTCCCCCAAAATTGGACACTTACCGACCTCCCTATGTGAGACCAACATAGAAAAACAAGAATAAAATTAAAATTATACGCGACCATTTCATTTATTATTTCGTCGCAACTAGCACCGTCGGTAGTGTGGGAAGAATTTTTGTGTTGTGAATGAGTCAAATCTTTAGGGGACTAAAAGCTTTTAGGTTTAATAAATCGTTTTCTCTACGGTGGGACCTCATAAAAATTTTTATCAATAGAACACTCAGTTATGACTGTTTAATTACTTTTTCAACGCTCAAATATGTAAAGAGAGTAATTCTGTGTAGCGCGCTGCATATTTTTAATACAGATATGCACAAATTTAACTATTAAAAACTTAATCTAACAGTAAGAACATGGTGTTCTATTGGTGGGTTTTTTTTTGAAAGGTCTCACCGTAAAGGCTCATATTATTCTTATTTTAAGTTTTCAACTGTGACATAAAATTGACAAACGATTTTTAAAATTTGTCAAAAAATAATCATGTTTTTATTGCATAAAAACTTAAATTCTTAAAAAGAATCACTAAACTAAATGCAAGACATTCCTACCAAAAGTAAAGAGGCTTTGTATAGGGTTCACCTTGCAGTAGATCGAGTTGTTTTGTTTCTTCACTGGTTTTTTTGTCGTGTTGGCTGTACATCTCTCTTTTGGTTCGCGATCTTCTCTACCGGAACTTCTCATAATTCTAAGCATTATTCTTTTGGAGGTTTGTAGCTTTATTTTTGTTTATTATTAATTTTGCGATATGTTGTGTATTTTCTTTGCTCTTTGGGGTTGTAATTGTTAAGTAAGTGACTCAAATTGGTTTTAAAAAAGTTATTATTTTGTGTTTTTAGGTAACTTATTGTTTCAGTTTTTGGGCACAGATTATTTTATGATTTATTAAGAGTCTATAAATAAGCGTTTTATATAAGACTTTATGTGTATGTTTAGATAAAAGTGTAGAGATATACCTCCTTTTGTGTGTGAGAGAGAGAGAAAAGTGAGGAGAGACATATGTAAGGGTATAAGGGGATTCGGGTAGAGAGAGAAAGTTTGTTGAGTGTGTAATTCTGAAACTGTTAGTGAATTTTTCTCCCTCTTCCGTGGACGTAAAAATTTTTTCCGAACCACTTAAATCTTTATCTTCTCTATATTCACTGTTTGATACGTGAATTCTACTATATAATTTTCTCGAGGCCTACGTATTGGATTACTTCCTATGTGTATTACAATTAAGTTTACTAAAGTATTTCATTAAACTATACCTATGTAGCTAACTAGATGAATGCCAATATTTTAATGCAATCATGTGTTAAATATATGAATTCATTTTCCATGTTTGACTTGATGTATGATTTTTTTTTTCTTGTTCTCGAAAAAATCATTTCATGTCAGAAATTTATCTTAGCTGACTAGGGTTTCAAAATACAAATGTGACGAATTTTGTATCGAATATTGGCCTTCGTGAAGGATTAATAGATTTGAAGGGATAACAGTAATTACCTTACATTCTAGAATTAATCGTGAGATTCTGTATATTCTTTTTATTTATTTTTCTATTCTAAAGATAGGGTAACTAAGGGTGCGTTTAGAACTCGTTCCAAAATGATTTTAATTTTTGTATAAAAATGGAAATGAAAATGTTTTCAATCTCAAACATAAATCATTTTTGAAATTACATTTAGTAGTTTTATCAAGATATTCTTTTCAGTATAAAAAAAACTCATTAATGTCTTTCTCTCTGCTTGAGAGAGGAGAAAACGAAAATAAAAAATAAAAAAATGACTAAAGGTGCGTTTGGAACTCGTTCTAAAAAGATTTTTTATTTTTTGCATGAAAATGAAAATGAATAAAAACCCTATTTCTAGCACTAGTTTGCAGTACTTTTATTATTATTTCTGCTTTTTCTTTCTTTAAAAAAAAAAGAGTTTATAGCTATAGTCATATGAGGAGATTGCTAACACTGCATATCAATGTAGTTGGTTTGTTTGCTAATTTTCCTTTGTGTTCGTCGCTTTCCATTACAATGTTTTTCATAGGGGGGAAAAAAATACCACTAAAGACAAATTGAGGAAACTGCAAATATTTTAATGAAAGATAGTTTTGGACTAAAGTTTTGTAACTTGTAACCTAAGCTTTTCACGACTCTATATAAAGGGACCTTGTAAACCACTAAGTGCATATATCCATCCATATTTTAAGAACATTATGGGCCTCTCAGCATTTGCTCTGTGCCTTTCTGTCTGCATTTTCATTGTGTCATGGGGCGTCTCTTCTTGGGAACTAAGCCCCGAGATCAAGGCTCAACAAGAGGCCGACCGAGTCATATCGCTTCCTGGCCAGCCTCCGGTGAACTTCCGACAGTACTCGGGATACGTAACGATCGACGAGAGCTATGGAAAGGCTCTTTTCTATTGGTTTTTTGAAGCGACGCACAAACCAGCCGACAAACCTCTTCTATTGTGGCTAAATGGAGGTATGTCATAATCCAACTATTAAGGGGACGTTTAGTTCATGGATTTAAAATCATGATTCAGAATAATTCTCGGTTTACGTGCATTTTTTTGAGAGAAAATATTATAGTGAGCTACGAACCATGATTCAAACCATAACATGGATCCTTACTCCAAACGCACCCTAAAAGTTTCTAATTTAATTCGATGATTTAGTACGATCAGCATAAAAAAATTAACATTTAAATTAACTTTATCATGGCGTGTCAAGAATTGGACAATACTTTTTTTTACTTTCAAGACTCAAATCTTCCATACGTATACTTTGTTCTTATATGTATGCATGCATGTATGTATGACTTGTGAACTAAAAAAGTATTGTGAAATTAACAAGAGCATTCTACAATGTTTTTACAGGTCCAGGGTGTTCTTCAATAGGGTTTGGGGAGGCCCAGGAACTTGGCCCATTTCTAGTTAAAGAAGGGCCATCCATAAAGTTCAATCGTTACACTTGGAATAGAGGTATAAATTTTAAATCCGTATAACAAGTGGATCGATTAAGGGAAAATTTTAAAAATACCTCATTGAAATAGTCTTTTTTTAGGGAGAAAGAGAGAAATAGGTAAATACTTAAGATGAATTAAAATTAATAGGTCAATAGTTTACATAAGTTAATAAATATGCTAAATTATTATTTTCGTCCATAATTTGTCTGGTTATGAACCATAACTTGACAAGTTATGGACGGTTTTTGTCCATAACTTGTTTGACTATGAACCAAAACTTGACAAGTTATGGCCTATTAATTTCTATAACTAAAAATTGACCTATATACTTTCTTAAACTTTTCTTATTAGCCTATTTTCTACTATTTCCGTTTTTTTTATTTCAATTTCTTAATATTAGTTCATATATTTTTACTTTTTAGATGAGAATTAGTTAAGAGATAAGAGTTTTTAAAAAGGAATATTTTTAATAAGTAATAAGATGGATTCTCGCGAATGTGGTTTATTATACCCTAAACTATATTTTTTTTTTCCTGCTTTATCACTTCAGCTGCAAATCTCTTGTTCTTGGAAGCACCAGTTGGCGTGGGCTTCTCGTATACAAATACAACTCTGGATAATCTCGGAGACAACATCACAGGTGGTAGACATTCAGAAACGGAGCCACATTAAAGTAGTGGAGGCTTTATTTAAAAAAAATAATAATAAATTTACCTATATTTTTGTACTTAATTTAACTAATAGCCCCCACAACAACTGAGAGGGAAAAAAAAAAAAAAAAAAAGGAAAGAAAACCATTTTATTAGCCCCACAAATATTGAGAAAATCAATTTATCCCCACTCAAAACTACATAAATTCACAGTATTAAATTAAATATAACCCCTTTAAAATTAAAAAAAAAAATTCATTTTGTCTCAACAAAGTATTTAGAAAAAATTTAGCCCTTTCTGAATAAAAATCCTGCCTCCATTACTGGTTAACCACAATACATACATACATACGTACATAAATACACACACGCGTGTATGTTTTTATATGTAATATCCACTATGTATTTACTTATCTTTGCCCTTTAATTTCTTCTTCTCTTCTAGCATGGGATTCCCACACATTTCTCCTAAATTGGTTAAAGAGGTTTCCACAGTACAAATATAGTGAATTTTACATATCAGGAGAAAGCTACGGAGGTAATTATTTAAACTTACTTGATGTATAATAAAGAAATGTGCATATATCATATATATATATATATATACTATATTATATACTATTTTCTCCTTAAATTTTAATATAAGGACATTGAATTTCCCCTCCTTATAATTACAATTACTTAGGCCATTACGTACCCCAACTCGCTGAGGTTATCTACGACGAGAACAAAAAAGCATTAACATACGACACCTACATAAATCTCAAGGGTTTCATTGTAAGTATCTCTGTCACATAATGAAGATGCCTATTATGTATGAAAAATAACATTCATTCTGTGATAAATCCTCACTACTCACAAAAAAAGTGGGTCCTATCACGTTGGGTCCCGTCTACTCATTTAACAAAACCTACTTTATATGAATAGTGGGGTTTTAATCCCATGAAAAATAACATTCATTCTTACAGAAATAAATCCTCACTACTCACAAAAAAATGGGTCCTGTTAGGTTGGGTTCCGTCTACTCATCTAACAAAACCTACTTTATGTGAATAATGGGGTTTTAATCCCATGAAAATGAATAAGAATGGATATATATATATATATATGCGAGCTCATGAATGATATTATACGACAATGTAGATAGGAAATGCGCTGCTAGACTACAACACGGATCAAAATGGGATGATTGACTATGCATGGGACCATGCAGTGTTATCTGATGGAGCTTACAAAGCAATTAAATCAAAATGCAATTTCGCAATTCTAAACTTTACTGCAGAGTGCATTGAGGCCTTGTCCGAGTACTACAACTTGTTTTCTTTGATCGATGTCTACAGTTTGTACACTCCAACGTGTCCCCTCCCTGCTCCTTTTGCTGCTGCACAAACGCTTAAAATCGAATCAGAACCGAAATTCACTTCTGGATTCGTAAGCATCTTTTCACCCTCTTCTCGATCGGCCTACACGCTATTTTGGAGCATTTATGTTTATTATTTCTTTGCGCTGACACTAACAACTTATGCTCGGTTTGTTTCGAGGGTTATGTCCTGGTTTAGGATCATAATTCTTGATTCGCTATAGTATTTTTCTCTTATAAGAAATTTAAATTTCAAAAATCAGAATCATGAACCATGATTTTGAACCTATGAACCAAACGTCACCTTAGTTGGAATGTGCTAAAGGTCACTCTTCTTTTCATTAGTTGGAATATGTTAAAGTTCACTCCTCTTTTCATTTAAAGAATAAAATAATCAATGTATTTTATCATATATATACATATATATATATAGAGAGAGACACGCACACTATCATTCATTGAAGTATGGTGTGGAAAATCGGTTATGGGTAAATATCATGAGGTTTGGAATGCACAAGTTGTTTGTTGATATTATTATATGTGGCTATAATTCATATTTGGGCAGGACATTTTGCGTAGAATACCGGCAGGTTACGATCCATGTATAGTGAATTATGCAACAACGTACTTCAATCGTCCAGACGTTCAAGAAGCCTTGCATGCCAATGTTACCAAAATACCCTATCCCTGGATCCTTTGCAGGTTAGTATAATATATAATAGGAAAAATGCACCCACATAACACATTTCATATCTATTTTTGAAGTAATTAGCATATTTTTTAAATAATAGTAAATTATAGTATATTCTCATTTTGCTTTTAAAATAGAAAATTTCATTTCTAATTTTATTCTCTAGGGTTTCCTCGTTTCTTTCCCTCCTCTCTCAGATTCATTTTGACAGTCCCTCTCAACATCTCTCTGTCGTTTCTCTCTCTCTAAGATATTTTTTTCTTCCTCAATCTTCACGACAATAACAGCCTTTCACTTTCACAACAACAACAACCTTTCCCTTTCTCTCTAAGATTTTTTTTCTTCCTCAATCTTACCATACAAACAAATATGGCATTTATCGGTAAATACAATATTAAACGATCGTCAGAATCAATGTTGACATTTTCGAATAAATATGATATATACTAGTAAATACGATATTTATTGATAAATACAGTATTTATCAGTAAATACAGTGTTAAACGGTCACTTGAGTCAATGGCCGGATTTTCGGGTAAATATGATATTTATTAGTAAATATGGTATTTTTTAAAAAAATACACAGAGTCGGTGCCTGAATTTTTAAATACATATGATATTTACTAGTAATTACGATATTTACTAGAAAATACAGTATTTACTGGTAAATACAGTGTTAAACGATCGTTAGAGTCAGTGCTTGAATTTTCAAATAAATATAATATTTACTAGTAATACGATTTTTACTGATTAATACGGTATTTACTAGTAAATACACTGTTAAATGATCGCCGTTGTTGGTGCCTGAATTGTCAGATAAATTTGATATTTACTAGTAAATACGGTATTTTCTAGTAAATACAGTGTTAAATGGTCACCGGAGTCAGCGGCCCAATTTCCGGATAAATATGATATTTACTAGTAAATACGATATTTATTGGTAAATACGCTATTTATCTGTAAATACAGCATTAAATGGTAGCCGGAGTCGGTGGTCGACTTTTCGTATAAATATGATATTTACTAGTAAAGTCTAATTAGACTTTATTAATAATTGTCTGTTGATCAGTTTTTTGTTTTTTGTTTCAATTTTTTTTTTGTTGTTTGGTTCTTCTATTTTCTATTATTTTGTTTGAAACTCTATTTTCTATTATGCTGATCTTTAGTATTTTTCATTTTTCTTCATCTATTTTGAGTAGAAATTTTAGTTCGTAATGAGGTTGTTAGTAGTTGCCAATCTAAATATTGGGACGTATGTGTCAATTTGTTTGACATCAACTATTCCCTCTCACAATTTATTTAATAATTTGCGCTTTGTTCAGCACTGACGTAAGCAAAGTATGGAAGGATACGACATTTTCAATGCTTCCAACAATTAAGAAACTCATCGATGGGGGTCTTCGAGTATGGGTCTTCAGGTAATTGCCAGTAACGTTGCTTTTCATAAATTAGGAGGGCAAAATGGGAAAAAAAGTCGAATCACGATTTAAAGGATAAATGAGGCGCGTTTGGAACTCGTTCTAAAATAATTTTGTTTTTTGTATGAAAATAAAAATGAAAACTTTTTCAATCTCAGATAGAAATCATTTTTAAAAATGCATTTGGTACTTTTATTAAGAGATTATTTTCAATGTAAAAAACTCCATTAATGTCTCTCTTTGTCTCTCTTTGCTCGAGAGAGGAGAAAAGAAAACGAAAACAAAAAAAAATGAAAAATGACTAAAAGTCATGTTTCATTTCTCTCATTTTACACTAAATTAAAAAATCGTTTTCATTTATATTTTTTGTCTTTATTGCGCCTTTTGTCTTTATTGCGCCAAACGCTGTATTGAGAACGTTTTCATTTTTTTGTCTTGAAAAACGTAAAAAATAAAAATGGGATCAATTCCAAACCCGTTCATGAGATTTTTTTCATCAAGGAACCAAATAATAAAATTTTCTCTTTGGAAAAATAAATAGATCATTAGCAGTAAATAAATAAATTATTATGTGTGAATTTCACATGTGTATATATAATATAAAAGATTATTTTCAGGAACAAATGTATTAATGAAATAACTTTTTTATTTTTTTCTATTTTTTTTTTATATTTTACGGCAAACATCAAAGAACACGGCATCCAACTAAGTTAGCAATCAATTACTTGAACTATCATCCATATGCCCGGAATATATTTTAAATTTATATAAAAGAAAAAAACTTGAATGTATTGAGGAATAGTTTATTCAAATTACCATGAATTATTTATCTTTAGAAAAACGAAAACGTAATTGAATGAACAAAGTTATTTTCATTGTAATTAGTGGAGATACCGATGGAAGGTTACCGGTTACCTCAACAAGGTCTACATTGAACAAACTTGGACTAAGCATTAAAGAAGATTGGACTCCATGGTACAACAACAGAGAGGTATGTAATGACATATATATATATATATATATATATATATATATATTCAAGTTAAATACTGTTATCGTTTGTTATCCAAACAAAATGAAGCAACTTCTTATATAGAAAAAGGGAGAAAATTAACATTTTATGTGCAGAAAAGTCTCCATGGACATGGAGGCGTAAATTCCAGAGCCAAAAAACTAAGTGGATATTTGGTATAAAGATTATGAATCCGAAATCATGATTCTAGGTTTAAATTAGTGTTTGTTTACAAAAAGTAAAATGTGATTCTAATTTAACTCACCCAGAATCAGTGTTTAGTTTATATGGTTCTGATTAAAGGTTTAAACTCTGATGTGATATTTTAAATTATGATTCACTCCTGATTTTAAAACCACCTTCCTCCTTAGTTTTGGGTAGTTCAAACCCATAATTCTTGTTCTGGTTTTAGAATTATGATTTGAACTCAAAATCATGAATCATAATTCTGATTTTAAAATTAAAACTAGAATCACCCTGATTCAAACTCTCATACTAAATGAATCCAACTAGCCAAAGCTTTTTAAAGATGGCAGAAAGTACAAATATTGGCTGATTATTTATATTATCAAAATCAATACATGGTTATTTGATAAAAAGTTACCATATGAGATGGAAAATACTTTTTAGCACGAATGGATATATAGTACTCACAATTGCCATATATTTATTTTTAAAAAAAAAAAAAAAAGATGACCGGATTTCATTGCTTTGGTTTTTGAAGAGTATTTTTTTTAAAAAAAAAAAGATGACCGGATTTCATTGCTTTGGTTTTTGAAGAGTATTCTAATAGAATATAAAATTAAAAAAAATGAGAGATTAGATGATGAAAATGTTATACTACGTAATTTTCTCAAAAAAACAAAAAAAAAAAAAAGAAACGGATATAGTCATATAGAGATTGGTGGAGAATACAACTTCAAGATCTTGACAGTCCATCACTATGCTAAACTTTTCACCACACAACATATTTCTTACAAGATAAGAAAATTAAACAAAACATCTGCACCCAATAAAAAATCATGGATTATATATAGTAGAACCAACGATGTTTAAATTCCAATGAAACTTGTGCATGCATGGTGCTAAAATTCACTAATGCAATATTCTATCTAGTTTTATATATTTTATTTTATTTTGGTCACGTTCAGTCCGTTTATTTTAGTTTTTAATTTGAACTGAGATATAAATTTATGTGAAAGCTTTTTACTGTAACAGAAAAAGTTAGATGTGACTTTCTGTGAGAGCTTTTTACTGTAGCAAAATTAAAATTGAAAACTCGAATCGATGAAATGGTCGAGGTCTTTATTTATTACGTAGATATTTACTATTTTTTTTAATTGATTTAGGTTGGAGGTTGGACAATAACCTACGAAGGCTTAACGTTTTTAACGGTGAGAGGAGCAGGTCACCAAGTTCCTACATTTGCTCCAAAGCAATCTCTCCAAATCATTGAGCACTTCCTCGCCAATACAAAGCTGCCATCTGTCCCATTTTGACGGCTTCTTTGAGAATGATATCAGAAATTCATCCCAAAAATTATTGGAAAACAAAATGTGGTCAATTTTTTGAATTGTTGGAAGGATTTGTTAAAACTCTCTTCAGAAAAAAGGCTTTTTTTTTTCTCTCCTTTATATATGATGCAAAATTATGTATGTTGTGTAGTGTCACAATTAAAATAACTATTTTGTCCCTCCTTTTGTGGATCATTTCCTAGTTAATTACTATTTCTGAATTCACAGCCTCTTTTTTTTTTTTTCCCCTTATAAGAGGATCAAATTGACAGTTCTTACATGAATCTTGCAAAAATTATATAAAGTGACAGCGTTATACCAACATTTTGTGCACCAATACCCTTGAGAATTAATATGAAATATGAATGTAAGGATTTAGCGTGAATTTGAAATATAATGTGTAAATGGAAACAATTCGAGATATAAGATTTTTTTTTCATAATTTCAAAATCTGCCCGCCTAAAGTTGACCTTTACATGTTTGATATGAAGATTCATATCATGGTTCGAATCATAGTTCGTGGCTCGCTACAGTATTTTCTCTCATAAAAAATACACGTAAACCGAAAATGATTCTGAATCTGTAAACCAAACGTTCACGAATGAAACCTACTCCAAAAAATAAAAAAGTTTGCCTAGAATCATTAAGGATCAATCTTTTTCAAAAATAAGTAAGTAAATAAATAAAATCAATCATGACCATGAGCTCCCTTTGCCTGTAAACCTCTAGCCAGCCTTATATCTTTATATAATTTACTAGTTGAGTGCCACGTTCTACGCACGTGAGTTTAATTTTTTAAGTTTCTTCACATATTAAAATTTTAATTACGTGTTATTATTTTGGTGCGTCTCTGGACTTTTTTTTTTTTTTTTTTTTTTTTTTTTTTTTTTCCCACAATTTTTTTTTTTTTTTTTTTTTACTTTTCACACAACTCTTTTTAATATTACTAAAATATCCATTAATAAAATTACTTTCAAGGACAATAATATCCTAAAAAAAATACTTATTACACACCCCACCATTAATAACCATCCAATTAAATCTAACGGCTTACAACAAAAGGTTTCATCAACTTTAAAATAGAAGCTGCAAAAATAAACCTTTCTGTTTGACTATTTTTTTTTTTTGAGACGTTTCTTCACTATTATTATTATTTTTTTTTTTTGAACTTTTCCTCCCCTTTTTGTGTCCCTATACGTTCATCTCCATCTCCTTGCAAACTGATAAAAGGAGAAAAGGCCAGTGCAGAGTAAAATTGATAAGAATTCCCCCTCTTTTGCAAAAATCTTCTTTATTAATAAATACGGAATTTACTGATAAATATAGTGTTAAACGATTGTTGGAAAACAGTCGCTGAAAAAACAGTTGCCGGTGCCGGCCGCCGGTTCCGGCCATGGTGGACTTTATTGTAATCTACATATTTTAAAAAATATGTTATAATTTACTATTTTTTTTAAAAAAAAATAGATGTTTAGGAGGAGGAGAGAAGTGAAAAAAGAAGTTTAGAAATATTTTTAGGTTTTTAATAATATTTAAAACTTAAATTATCGCTATAATCTACATTTTAAAAAAAAATGCTATAATTTATTTATCACTCTACCAATTATACTATTTCACTCATTCTCCCTAAATTACACTATAATCTACCTATTTTTAAAAAAATGCTACCATTTATTAAAAAATTTACAAATTATTTTACAAATTAAAAAATTAATTTTGAGTTTGGTTTGGTGATTGATTTTATGGATGTTGCCATTATTTGGGAATGATTTGCGGTGTTGATTTGTTTAAGGAATATTGAGATTGATATGCTGCAGGTTTCTTTTATGGAAATATTCAGATTGGTTTGAAATCCGTTTCTCTTATATGGTTTTCTATTTTGATGAGTCAATTATAGTAATTTTGGTAATTTAAATGATGATGGAATGTGATTAGGCAACTGTGATTTGTACTCAACTAGTATCTGTTTTTGGAAAGTTGTATTTTGATGAGTTGGTTGATACGTCTAGGTTCATGGAGTGATCTGTAAGAATTATATTGTATTTATGAAAGGAAATATTAGAATTATGCATAAAGTTGACTTTATCACAGATTTTACACATCTGTTGTAGAAAGTTGCAACAGACTGAAATTCGTGGACTGCAGTAATGTTTCTTACAGCTGACAGTTTTGACTATTTAATTGGAGCCTCACAACAATTGTAGCGGGCCTTTGGAGGTTCAGAATTACAGAGAGTCAATCCATTTTGTGAGTCTTTATATTTCACGTTCTTCGGAAGAAAATTTGTAGTTTTGGGAGAAGACGATTTGAAGTGTTGAAGGGAATTCAACCAACGTTCTTCAGGAGAAGAATTTGAAGCTTTTAGGAGAGAGTGCACTGCCAACCGAAGGAGTTCGCCATGTAATTTTTTAAGTCGAGTGGTGTTCGCTGAGCAAGTTTATTTGATAGTTACAAGTTTTGAGTTACAACATTGTTTACTTAATAGATTGTTGTTCCTCACCTGAGCGTGGTTCCACGGAGTAAGTGGTTGCTAAACTGCGATACCAATTTTTTTGTGTCCTTTTTTACTATTTCACATGTTTCTTATATTTGTTATAACAAATTCAGCAAACAAAGACGTTTGGTAAGGGGATTTATACTATGATTTGAATCATAGTTCATGATTCGCTACAGTGTTTTCTCTCACAAAAAATACACATAAATAAAAAATGGTTCTAATTTCATGATTCTAATCCATAAACGATAGTAAAAATATTCAAACTGGTACCAACAACGTTCATGAACAATGCAGAGCTTAATATATTCATTCTAATTGGTTCTTAACTCTTATTGGTGATGATGATTCAACAGCCATGTTCGTGGTCACAAATTTGAGAGAAGATTACATTAAAGGGAAAAACAGCAAATAATGACAATAAAAATATTGTTGGGGGAAAGGAAGAGTAATTTTATGGTAGTGGAGGTTGTGGACCAAAACGCAACCATACACCCGGGCATGCGTCCACATGTAGGTGATATTATTCAAGGTGAATCGGACGAGAGAAATTTGGACACATTCATAAACAAAAAGAATATAACTTGGCTTTAAATTAAGATTGGAGGGACCAATCTCCCAATATAGATTTTTGACCCCCCAAAAGCACTCAGCCTTTAGGTGAATGGAATAATATAATGGGGACCGTTCTCAAGATCAAACTTTATAATAATGACCCAAACAATTTAAATAAGGGACCTTATCCGGTAGGTCGGTTTATTGACGAAGTTAATTTTTGACTGTTAGATTTAATTAAAATCACATTAGATTAAAAAAGTATGCAGATCACAGACAATTTGTGATAAAATCAAACGGCTAAAAAGTATTGATCTACCAATAGTTTTTTTTTTTTTTTTTTTAGTCGTACCAGAAAAACTCACTTTGAATAAATGTTAATTCCATATGTGCCCTCTGAATTTTAAGATCATTTTTAGTTTTTCTTTTAAATTTTGAAAAATTTTACTCTACTCCATAATTTTTGAATTAGTCTAATTTAATTCTATTGGTCAGAACTTCTATTAAAAACATATCGCAAAAAATAAAGTGTTTAAGTGGGATTATGTAGCTTTTTCTCTTTTTTTTTTAACAAAAATTTTAACAGATTATCCATCTTATCGTACTACCTTTTTTTTAAGTGTGTTTTTAATTAATATTATAACGAAAGGAGTTGAATGCACTATTAATTTAAAATTTTAAAAGTAAAATGTGAGTTTTAAAATTTAAAAGACAAAATAAGAATGTTCTTAAAACTCGAGGAGTACAAGTACTGAAGAGATAATCCTTTAGATAATACAAAGCTTCTATTCCATACCCTGGCGTGATATGCAATTCTAAGATTTCTATGATGGCAAACGGTTACCAGTTGTATAATTTTCTTTTGCACACGAGTACATAGGAGCCTTTTTCAAAAGACTCATGCCTCGTTCATTTCACCAATTCGAGTTTTCAGTTTTAAGTTTCTACAGTAAAAAACTATCAGAAAATATCACATCTAACTTTTTCTGCTACAGTAAAAAACTCTCAGAAGATGTCACATCTCAACTCGAATTGAAAACTCAAATCCGCGAAGTGAATGAGGCCGAGTAATTCTCCAAAATATTTTTTAAGGTTGACGAATTTTTAGAAATTAAGATGAGAGTTTTGCTGGTAGGATAAAAAAATAAACTATCAGTAATTTTTTATTTTTAATAGTAAGAAATGTATTAGAAATTGTCTATTTTGTATATATTTTTTAAATTGATGTGATTTTAATTATATCTAAAGGTAAAAAAACAAGCCCTAAAAGACTCTACTAAGTAAAGTCCCAATCAAGTTACTATCAAGGAAGCCAAACTTTTCAGAATAGAACACTATGTAATGTTCTATAAGGTCTTATAAACCTCCAAAAGCGTCGAGACTATTCCAGAATTCTTTAAAACTCCAATTTCAAAGTCCTTGAAACTCTCCCAGAACTTTATAGTAGTTTCTTAACAGTTGTAGAATTTACGGGTTATTTGGTTGCTAGATTTATGTCATGATTCGAATCATGATTCATGGTTCGCTACAGTATTTTTTCTCACAAAAAATACACGTAAATTGAGAATGGTTCTGAATCATGATTTTGAATCCATGAACCAAACGTTGAGATCATATAACTCTAGAAAGGATAGATGTTGGGATTATGGGCCTATTTGGGAGAGTTTTTTAAAAACGGTTTTTAGCTATTTAAGTCTAAAAGTTATTTTTGAAATTGTTTAGATGATATGACAGATGTGCTTTAGTATTTTAAAAAAAAACTTATGTGACTTCTAAAGAAAAACACATTTGAATAGATTTTAAAAATTGTACCGGAATTTAATTAAAACATTAAAAACTTAATTCCAACACTTTTATCATGTTTATTAAAAAATTTAAAAATTATTTTGACTACCCATTAAGCTCTTGGTTTCAAACAGTACTTACTGAAAAGCCA